TATTTTATTTATTTTTCGCCGTAGTGGTGGTGACGACGATGGTGGCCCTGGTGGTGATGATGATGGTGATGATGATGATGGTGGTGGTGATGATGATGGTGATGATGATGATGGTGATGGTGGTGGTACTGATGATGATGTTTTTGATGATGATGATGATGACGATTGCTCTGGCCATGGAGTTTCATGGAATGAAAATTATCTCCAGTTGAACGGAGGCCACATTCACATGCTCCTTGCTTATGGCTGTTAATGTTGTAAATGTCACCAACAATGTGGTTTTGGTTATTATTTTTATTATTTTTTATTATTTTTATTATTATTTATTTTCCCAGCTCTTCGCGTGCGGTAATTCTACGTTGGCGTATCCCGCTGTTCGTCATTAATGATGATGATGATGACGATGATGATGACGATGATGATGACGACAACGACTACGATGGTGATACTTAATGAGCCACAGTAGTAGTAGTAGTAGTAGCAGTAGTAGTAGTAGTAGTAGTAGTAGTAGTAGTAGTAGTAGTAGTAGTAGTAGTAGTAGTAGTAGTAGTAGTAGTAGTAGCAGCAGCAGAAGCGGTGGAGATATAAGTCCTGATGAGTTTTCAATCCCCTCTTTAATTTAAACTCTTAAATTCTCTTTTGCCTCCAATTACTTCGCCCTCCATTTTCATGAATGTTTGTATTCGTATCAGTTCGGTATTTGTGTCGGTATTTATGTTGGTGTGTATTCGGTTTTGGCAATCATACCGGTTCTTTGAACTCTGTACATCGGTAAACTGGATTTTTAAAAATTTTAAAAGTTTCACTGATTATGAAATTTTACATGGATGTTTTTTTTGGTATTTCTATGAGTAATCGCATCGGTATTATAGTCGGATCAGAGTTAGGTAGGTCGGTACACGTATGGGTATTTGTATCGATACTCACAACGGTTTTAAACGGCGCGCTTTCCGAGCAATCATCATTATTATTTTATTTACAGTGTTGTTTTTGCCTCTGCTCCAAAATGCTCATGCTATATTTTTTCAAGTTTCCTTTTTAATTTGGCTTCGCTGTCATCGTCATCGTTCTCCTACTCATCATCATCATCATCACCATCGTCATCATCATCATCGTCCTCATCGTCCTCTTCATCATCGTCGTCGTCATCATCATCACCACCATCGTCGTCGTCTTCATCACCATCATCGTCAACGCTCCATTAACGTTTATTTTTACGGTTCTAGAAAAGTTTTTTACGACGAGTTGTCATCATCATTTGTTGTTGGGACGACGACGATGATGTTGTTGTTGTTGTGACGACGATGATGACGACGTTGCTGTTGTTGTGATGAAGTCGTTGTTGTTGTTGTTGTCATGATGTTGATGACGACGATGTTGTTGTTGTTGTTGTGACGACGATGATGACGACGTTGCTGTTGTTGTGATGAAGTCGTTGTTGTTGTTGTTGTCATGATGTTGATGACGACGATGTTGTTGTTGTTGTTGGGACGACGACGATGATGTTGTTGTTGTTGTGACGACGATGATGACGACGTTGCTGTTGTTGTGATGAAGTCGTTGTTGTTGTTGTTGTCATGATGTTGATGACGACGATGTTGTTGTTGTTGTTGGGACGACGACGATGATGTTGTTGTTGTTGTGACGACGATGATGACGACGTTGCTGTTGTTGTGATGAAGTCGTTGTTGTTGTTGTTGTCATGATGTTGATGACGACGATGATGTTGTTGTTGTTGTGACGACGATGATGACGACGTTGCTGTTGTTGTGATGACGTCGTTGTTGTTGTTGTTGTCATGATGTTGATGACGACGATGTTGTTGTTGTTGTTGGGACGACGACGATGATGTTGTTGTTGTTGTGACGACGATGATGACGACGTTGCTGTTGTTGTGAT